TTCAGGCCACCATTATTGGGTGCTAGGTCAGAGACTCCTATATCTGTAACAGGATCTGGGTCGGGTCACGCATCGGGTTCAGCATCCGGGTCTGGAATTGGTCAAAGTCTCTTGCGAAAGGGCCGGAGGCCTGTTCCTTCGAATGTGGGGGCGTCGGAATCTGATCCTGCCCTTTTTGGTGGACACCAGGTACCAAAGCCGAAGAAGGCTGGAATCATAAAGACGTTGATAAACCGTGCTAAAGCCACAACCGCCAATGCGAGGTCGACATTTAACCATACTCCTCCTCTACCCACCCCTGGGCCAGTTGTTGTCAATAAGGGACCTGGTGATGTTATTACAGGGATACAAGGAGGGCAACCACGGCTGCAGGGGCCAGCGCACGGTTGGGCGGAGGTGAGAAGGGACGTGAATCGGTCAAATTCACTGTCTAGGGCAGAACGAGACGAACGTTCCCGGCGGGTGCAGATGTTGGGGCATACCGTCCTTCGCCCGGTCGATCTTTTGGATGAAGTTGTGGATGGAGATGCGGCTGCTGATGGGAAAACTGCTGTCCAGGATCCTGCCGATTTTGTGAATGCAACTAATCTGGCGTTTGTTGACAAAACAGCAAGATTCATCAACAATCTCCCTTTGTTCACCACACCCGAAAGTTTGGCAACGATGCATATCTGTAAGTCTTACCGAACCGAGGTACAGAAATTGCGTGCTATATTTACATGGCTTTCGGAGAAGGTCTCTTGGGAAAGGCCCACGCCTCCGGTGGATGGGGTTGAGGCGAAGATGGATCTTCGCAGGGTACTGCAAGTAAAACGTGGAAGCCCGGAGGAGGTTGCAAATATTGTCATGCTTATGTGCAGGGCTGTTGGGATAGAAGCTGAAGTGATTCCTGGGTATCTCAAAGCACCTGGGGAAATGTTTGAGGCCGCTGATATTCCGTCGCCAAATCACTTCTGGAACGCGGTCGTATGTGAGGGAGAGTGGAGGATGATGGATTGCTCACTTGCCTCTCCTACACATCCTCGGCGGGTATTGTACAGTGGTGCATCCAATACAACAACAGAGTTTCACTATTTCCTCACCCCTCCATCGAGGATATGCTGGACCCATGTCCCATCTCAACCAAGGCATCAGCACATGATCCCCCCGCTACCCCTTTGTCAGCTTCTTGCTTTGCCAGTGGTCACGTCAGTGTTCTTCCAGCATGATCTCAAAGTGCAAGATTTTGATACCTCACTTATCCGACTCGAGGGCTTGGAAGCTCTTCAGATAGACGTTGGAGTTCCTGTCGACATTGAGCTCATTGCCGAGGTGGAAGCACGTGGCTATGCCATTGATGCGGATGGGGAGATATATGAGAGCGATCAGGTCGTCAAGAAACGTGCGCTTGCGCAAGTTGCTTGGGATAGTGGTCACAAGACATACCGTATCAAAGCTGTGACTCCAGGGGACGTTGGAGCAGCGGTATTAAAAGTGTATGCTGGTAGAAAGGGCCTAATGCACTCTATTAAAGACAATCCACATCCACTTGCTTTCTGCTTACCCATAGCACATACAGGAGAGAATCCACTCTATGACTTTATACCACGCCACCCGACTCCGCATGCAACCCGCCACGACCTGTATGTTGCACAACCACAGTGCTATTACCTAGGACTAAACAACACGTACGTTTTTGCCGTGAGGCAGAATATTAGCACAGGGGCTCCTAGTGCTACCGAGAAACCGGCGAAGTTGGCCTTGCAGACTCCTACTGGCAAGATCCTACGGTTGATAAAGAAGGGGGATACACCAGGTTGTGAGAATGGGGTGGTGTGGGAGACTATTGTGAAGGTTACTGAGGCTGGCGCGTGGAGGGCGCTGGTACTTGCGGATAGGAGTCACAGGTGGTGTGTGTATGCGGAATGGCACGTTAGTTGATGATGTTGATGATTGAAATGGTTAATTGGTATGCCTGGGACCAACCAGAGGGTGGCGGAAAATTCGTTCGTGACTTTTCTCTATTACCTTTCCTTCTACTACACTTCCATTCTTTCGACTATGGTTATGGTCTTATTGGTTTTATTTTTGTTTGCTCTACTTGGGCCTTGATCTGTTCTCCAGCCTGCTCTTTTCCAGCCTGCTCTTCTCCTTTACCTTCCAGAGTATATTGGGTGATTTTCGCTCTCAACTCTTTTATATGTTGGTGTTCGGGAACATATCCTTCTACTTTCTGCCTTCGACTCTTCTTATCCTTATTCTTGCATATCTTTCTTTGCTTCATAAGCCATTCGATGGGCTGTTTGCGGGCTTTGGTGCACTTAAAACTATAATGCTGCGCTTTTCCTAAAGTACCTTACATTCTTATTTTTTTCTGTTCTCCTTGTTTGGAGTCACAGGCGCGTTTGTCCTTTTCTTTCTCCTTGCGGTTTGCATCGCATTTGCTACCATCTCATATTGCCACTCTAGCTTCTCATTAAACATACACTCTATATCTCGTCTTGTATTTTCTTCATTTTTTCTTGAGTCTACTGGGGTCATGCGGAGGTATATAGTAGTGTTGAAGTAGCTAGCATTTATTCCTTCGAGGTTTCATCCATGCTCACATACCTTACCTGACCTTGTCTTTGTCTTACCTTACATGTTTGATGGCTTCAGCTCTTCGGGCAAAATACATCACATATATTTTTTTTTACATCTTGGGCATCTTGTCATTTAAATGGCTGCGGGGAAGTAAATTACTCCTTTTTCACTTTCTTTTTTTTTTTTCCTTTCCATTGTAATCGGGCTGGATTGTGCTTTTGAGGCTATAGCTTGGAGTGGATTGGAATAATTGATTTTAATACTCTGCATCCGTGACCATAATGTAGTTTAGGCAGCTGAAATCAATAGTTAGTAACCTGCACTGGGTCTGGTAATAGGATTATTGCGGGCAGCCGCTGTTATAATAATACAGGCTTGACAGGACGGTTGCAGTCGGATTAGCGATAGTTGCTAAAGGTGCAAAGGTACCCCCTTCAAACAATCATGCGGGTGTTACAGTATAGTAATGATTGTATCAAAAAAAAAAAAAAAAAAAAAACTTAATAGTGAAAAAATACAAAAAAGAAAATACGCTGGCATGCTAATTACATGTTAGACACTAAGGACGTCGCTCGGATATTCCGGGAGGATAGAGGTGCTCCTCTGGGTCTATTCAAAAGTTACAATAGTAAGTACATAAGTTGCGGAGTCCTGAGCAACAACATGAGCGTCACTTACAGTTTTTTAATTTTCTTATTCTCTTCTGTTTATCTGGGCCTGTCCCAACCAAAAAACTTTTTGAAAAGCAGCAGCCCATACACTCTGTGTTCCTCTCCCTCGAGATATTAAAACGCTTCCCTTGTTTAAAAGAAGCCGTGATTGTGTGGGTGACAGTGTTCCGAGCGGTCATACACTTTCTCTCACTATTTTATTGTGACAATTTTTTATTAGTTCATAAAACTCAAGTGTTGAATTGCAAGAGAGTAGTTTACCTCTTGACTTATCCAGCTCATGCCCCTTAAGAGAGTCCGACAATGGAATTCTTAACCAGACTAGAAATTTCCCTAGTTTCTTATCCTCTAAGTCCAGCTCAGGTATATGTGAATTTGCAACTTGCTTCAATAGTACGGCCTTATGTAGTGGCAAAATCGATGTTACATAACGACTTTCATGTATTTCTTAAACTCATCCGCCTCTTTCTTATGCTTATCCACCTCATGCTTATGCTTATCCACCCAGAATCCTCATGGTCCCTCTAACGGGACGGCATAGGAGTAATGAGATTTAAACAGAGTTTGAGAAATGGCCGGCAAAGGGCAAGGCTCTACCGATCGAGACGGTTCAGACCAGGTAGCAGTGAAGGCAGAGAACCTCCATAGAGTTTATACAGGAGGCAGGTCGTACAGTTGTAGTAGGTTTGTTGTTAGTTGGCTCGTTGTTCCGTGGGCATACCGAGTCTTTTAAGATGAGGGGAACGGGGCCGTCTTATAGCCTAAGGTATAGACTTCAAAAAAAAATAATGCTTATCCACCTCTTGCGTATGCTTATCCACATCGTGCTTAACTCTGTTGAACTGTCACCTCTTGCTGAATTTTGGCTATCTTTTGCTCAAACCTGTTGCAGTGTTAGGAACTTCCGTGCTGGCCTGACCGGCCCCGGCGGGCAATCTTATGGACTGGGCTGCCTGACTACTCTTGCGGGGCCGTCCAGTCGCTGTCTAGTCCGTCCAGCCTGTCTAGTCGGTCCAGTCCATCCAGCCTGTCTAGTCGGTCCGTCCATCCAGGCGGACCAGGCGGACCAGGCGGACCAGGCTGTCTATAACCTGCTCTTGTGGCTATGGGACGATTCAGGCCAGTCCTCGGCTGAGCTCAACCCTGTCCTGACCGGCCTGGGCCTTCTTGATGGTCGGACTGGCCGGCCCGCTGCAAACAATGCCAGTGGCACTGCCATCATGGGTTGGGGGCTTTTGAGATAAGTCTTCTCAATTTATGGCATGGACCACGAGATGATTATTGAGATGGTACGTCGGCAGCGCTGGCACTGGTTTTATAGCTCGTAGCCACCTGAGGCAGAATGGCCAGCACCTCGAAGAAAGGCACAGTGGTCTAATGGTACGACTCTCGCTATGTAGGTACCTGCTGATTTCAGGCGGAGGGCGAGCGACCTGGGTTCAATTCCCAGCTGAGCCGATATTTTTTTGCCTATCATCCCCTTTTATCTTTCCTAGCTCTGGCTTACAAAGTCAGATTTGTGGATCCGGCGGGTCGCGGGTGTACAAGCCAATATTCTGGAGAGAACTGACATGACATGCGACGGGGTGTGATTTTGGTTGGGGTATAGATTGCGTGTATTAGGAATTTGGGCTCGAAAAGTTTTATTGTCGAGATGCGGCAGTTAATCCAAAGATGTGAGGAATTCGGTGGTGAGGTAGTCTGCTGATGTAGTCTATAGAGGCCGGGCTTACTTATTCTACTTTCCGTAGGCATACCTAACAAAAAGGCGCAGTGGTCTAATGGTATGATTCTCACTATGTAGGTACCTGCTATTCTAGGCGGAGGGTGAGTGATCTGGGTTCAACTCCCAGCTGCGCCGATTTTCTTTTTTTGCCTATCATCTCCCCTTACTTATCTTTTTGGAGGTTTGCTAGTCAGATTTGTGCAACCGGTAGCACTCTGGGCCGAGTCTGGATAAAACAGACACGCGTCCAATTCTATTGCGAGAGGTCTGATGGGTGTGTGAAGCCAGCAGGACGCTCTAATTTGGGTAGGGAAGTGATTGTGATACGATGACAAGGGACGTATGTTAGTTACCCTGAACTCTTCCAAAACAGAAAAATCTCAGTTTGTACGGCGAAAAGGGCGATATCAGTGGTCATAGTTGAAACCAGATCTGTAGGCACAGAGTCGACCCTATCCCACAGATCCTCCTCTTCTACTTAGATGACGTTGACCCAACTAATCATCACCTCAGGGAGCAACGGAACCATGAATCGGCGATCAAACAGAGAGACAGGTTCTAAACTAGGTCGCTATTCGACACAAGTGGAGATGGGACCAGAGCAAGGAAAGCAAGGTAGACTTCGGACCTGATCTACAAGCAGAAAGGGCAAGCGCTCGGAACCGTGGTCGATTGCAACATGCAGTTCAAAGCCCACGTTCAAGAATGCGGCCGCCCTTGCGTGCGCCTGTGCAACAGCAACGAAGGCGGGCAGCTCTATTCCCTTTACTGTGGCATGATCAGAACCGCCTTCACATGGGGGTGTGTGGAACTCTGGCATAACGCTTCACTCCGAAAGGGTACCCCCACCTACACGAGGTGAGGAAAGTCGAGTACCAAGCGCTCGTTAGATCCATGGGCAGCCATGTTAAACTTGGTCTTATAGGCTTATAGCGGGAATCGAACTTCGAGAGAGCGAACTAGACGACCTCACATCCTGCCGGGCATCCAGGGCCATTAGGAATGGAGACTCAGTCCTAAAGGAGCTGATCCTGAAGGGAAGCTTCTCTTCGACATGGGATAGAGATCTCCGAACTATCCTAGGGGGACTTCAGCCTCCACCAACGGCCTCCCTTACAGGATATCCCGCTTTTTGAGCCAGAGAACGAATGATCTAATCATAAAGCATACTGGGCAGCCATAGTCTCGGAGCTCCTAGACGAAAGATGGAGAGCCGCATATACAGGCGGCAGTGGTAGGAGCAACGAGGCAGCAGGTGCCCTCTTCAGTGGGAATAGGAATGGCAACAAGAAATACGAAGAGGGTCTTTACTTAGGGGCAATGAGAAAGCAGACCGCCTCGCCGCCCTAAACTCGGCAATCGCGGGCAAACTAGAACTCGCCAACACCGAAGGATCAGAGTCCTAGACCTGGGCACGAGATGTCTCGAGAGTTCTTGTCTGCCTAGCTCAGACAATCATCCAAGGTCAGTCGGGCCCTTCAACGAATGGCTACAGGGCTTTGTATACGAAGATCAAAATGGCCCTCGCTGCATACCCATAGACCAGGACAGGCCGAGGCCCTTAAATTCATAACTCAATCGTCCGATTTCACCACATGTTCATACTACCAGGACCCCAGAGAGGACGGGGATCAAATCGTCTACTCCTGTCCAAGGTACGAGGCTCTGCACACTGACCTCGTTCCGGCAGCCACCTCCTGGGACCGAACTCTTCCAACCCATATGGAGGCAACACCATCGGAACGGAGAAAGATGGGATGCGGTAGAGGCTTTCTTCAGTGCATTACCTATACAGTACGATTAGATAAAGTCTCTACAGTGAACTCTCGATATAAGAATATCGTCCGGCGGGGGGGGGTAATATTCTTATATCAAATATATTCTTATATCAAATGTCAGGGTAACTACTAAAGGTATACATCAAAAAAGAGAATTAACGTGAGGTAAAGGAAGAACTAGGTACAGGGGAACCAGGAACAGCCCTGGATGAAGTGAAGAAGGCAGTAATGACTGTTTGTTTGCCTTTCCTTTTGTCTGCCAGTTGTGCAGCCTCAATGCGCTGGCTTTCGCGACAATAGAACTGTTCCGATTGTGTGTCGCGGTAACGTGTGTCGCGGTATTGGTTTGGTGGCGTTGTATTTGGCAGCGTTGTCTTTGGCAGTGTTGTTGGTTACGGGGTATTTCTTATCGATAAGCCTTCCTATTCCAGCTAGGCTGTTTATACATTACCCAATCAGGTACTCTTGCTATAAGAATACCTTAGTAAACAACCTAGAGAAAATAAGAATATTCTTCTATCAAATATATTCTTATTTTGTATGGGGGCGGGGGGGGTATATTCTTATATCAAATATTCTTATATCGAGAGTTCACTGTATTCCAGCTAACGAATTGTTTGTTCATTTCGTCATGCACAGAAGGTCTTTTCCCTCCTCCCCTTACCCCTTATCTCACAATTATTTTCATCGCTACACCACGCAAGACCATCTTCGAGTCTTCTTTCTAAATAAAAGAAAAAAACCTTTAATGCTAAGACCCCTGTTATATAGATGCCTACTGATTTCAGGCAGAAGGTGGACTCACCTCCCAGCTGAGCCATTTCTTTTTTTTTGCCATAATGTCATCTCACCCTTCCCACATTTTCTCTGGAAGAGCTTATTTGGGTCGAGTAATCTACTCACTGAGCCTGACTGATATTTTTCTAAAAGCACAATGGGTGAATGTCGCTGTACGATTCAGGCTGTTGTATTAGTGGCGGATAAATGCCCTGAACATTGTCCACCAGCGAGTAGCAGTATGTTGTTGGGCACGACCAGGGTTTGTGAGTGTTTATTTGAGGCGTGCGGCGACTGGCTGAGCATCAGGGCATGAGCACTAACGTACATAGTTGAGCAAGCTAAGACAACTCCGTTAGTTCTTGTACTTTGAAAAAGGCACAGTTGTCGAAAGACCCCCACTATATAGAGACCCGCGAATTCTAGGCAGAGGGTGGGTTATCTGGGTTCAATTCCCAGCGGATCCCATATTCCTTTTTGCATATCATCTCCCCCTTATCTTGCCAAAGGCTAGTCAGATTTGTTAGAACCGGTAGAACTCTGTTGACTGGGCGCAAAAACAGAGAAAACAGACATTGGTCAAAAATGGCACACAGTGGTCTAATAGGTATGAACACCCCCCCACTTGTCTAGTGACCTTGCTCATCGTAAGCCAGAAGGGTGGGTGATGATTTGCGTTCAATTCCTCCAGCTGGGCCAATCCTTTTTTTTTTTTTTTTTTTTTTGGGGGGGGGGGGGGGGGGGAAGGGGGGGAGGGGGGTGTAGGGGGGTGAAAGGGGGCGGGACCTTTATCATCATCCTTATTATGGTCATACTGTCTTTAAATTTTTATTCTTTTTCTAGCTCTAAATCGTACCCCTCATAGAGAGCGAGCTTTCTTTTTTTATTTTTTTTTTTAAAAAAAAAGTTCCCCTAGGGTAGAAAACAGTGATGAATGGGGGGAAAAAAAAAATTGCTATCACAAATATATATGCCCTGGGCCGCTCGCGGGCAATTCATTTAATTACTGCATTTAGTATATAACGTACTTGAATTAATAAAAATATACCCAACTAGAGCTATATTATAAATACCTACAACTAGGCTACTAGTTGTCCCCCGGGTCTATTGAGTCATCCTCCAGATCAACTGGACTATTACTACTATCCAGGAGTCCAATTTGTGTCCGTTCAGCTAGAACCGAGAGGTTACTGCAGTCATGATCTGCTAACCCCCCTCCTGGTATGTCAAAAGAATGAAGCATTTCAACTCATTTACAAAGCATCGGCAGCAACGACTGGTATAGGACTTTTTTTGTAAATACATAAGACAGAAAAACCCGAGTTGTTGTGGCTGCCTACCGAGAGGTACAGCTTAAAGTGATTATGGATTGTCGAGTAGCTAGAGTATCTACAATTTCATTTTGTAACAATCACATTAGTTTCTAGCTCGAAATATTTAGTTGGATAAAGAGGTGGCATTCAGGCTATGGTGTTGCAATAACCTTTTGGCATATAACCATTGATATTGTCGGTTTTGGCTTAAGTCCTCGATGGCTGTAAAGCAAGTAATCCGCTTATTTTTATAAGCTTAAAGTCTAAGCTTTAATTTGGTCTAAAAAGCCGAGGTTGTAAAAGTGGCAATATATGTTCTGTGCCGCTAGCGGGCAATTTATTTAATTATTGCATTTGTTGGTACATAACGCACTTGAATTTATTTTAAAAAAAACCCCCCCATTGAACGGGTTCAAGTTGATCTAATTGATATGCTCCATGAGCCTGATGGACAATATAAATGGGTCTGTTGTATAAAAGAACCATATGGGGTATGTGGGTTGTTTCCATTAGAAGATAAAATGGTTAAGTTAAACTCATTAGTACAAAATATGATACTAATATTATTAGTCAGAGTCTGTTATATCTGCAATGACATTATGGATTTCAGCTTTATAGCTCATCTAACATTTTACGATCTGATAATGGTGGAGAATTTATACTGTGTTATTATATGCTAACACCCTCCCCCCTCCATCCCCCCCCCGTTACTTACCCTGAACTTTACATTTCTTATTAAATTCTCCAAAATCTAAAAGATAATTTTCCTCCTCCTCCTCCTCCACCAAAAAAAAAATTTAAAAAAAATTGCACAAAAATAAATTAATAAAGAAAACCAAAATTTTTTAATATATAAACTATATCAAATTATAAAACCCACAAAAAAAGGTTGAAAAAAAATAAAACGCCATTACTTCTCTCCCGCTTCATCAAACCATTACAGCGCGCACAACACCTCGCAGTTTTTGGTAAACAATCATAAAAAAACTGTTTGTATACAGCATCCTCCTCCCATCTACCTCCTCCCACCTCTTCCCCCACCTCCGCCCCCACCCATTCCCCCCATCATACTCCCAAACTGCCTCATCACCCCCTGCATATCCAACCCTCCCGCCCCCGGCCCCGCCCCTCCTCCCATTCCTCCCAGCGCATTCATGATACCTCCCATATCCATATCTCTCATTCCCGGCATCCCCGTTCCCGCGGCCCCTGCCCCACCTGGACCCCCCGCCCCGCCCATCCCCATTGCCGCCATCTTCCTCTGCAT